GGCCACGTGTGCCTCCAAACTGCCTGGGAAACAAACCAATAACATAACAAGGCACTTCTCTAGATTTTACACTGCACGCATGGGGTTTTTGTGAGACACTTCATAGGCTCCTAATTCCTTCTGTTTGCTTTTGGTCATTATTTTTGAAGCACAAAATATAGCACTCCACTTCTCTCTTAGACCTCTCAACTGATGTCTCTACATCACTACCATAATCCCCTTTCAAGAATTTGAACAAGCAAGCAGCTGTGCCTGTTGCATTTCAGAGATATGTTTTTAAGAGCACTGTTGTTTACAACATGAGCGCGTTCCTCTCAGCAAACAGTTCTACTACAGTAAACATCTGCCTCTGCACCCAATGGTTTAGGATGTATTTAAGGTACCAAATTAGTATATCATAGAAATGGTTTCAGGGTTTGGGGCTTTTCTCAGTCATCCCTACTAAACCAAGTTAATTATGCTTCTACATTTTTCCATTCATTCACAGTTTTGAAAATAATTCTATGCACTAATACCTAATAAAGTAACTGAATTACTAGAACGACTTATGTTACTTTATATCATGCTCAACAATTTACACGGCAGTGAGTTAATGTATAAGTAATTACATATATAAGCATCACAGCTCCTTCCCTTGAATGAGTTCTTGCTGGTGTAGGCTGAGGCTGGCCAGTACCAAACAGGCAAAATGGAGTGTTTACAATTTCTCATGGGAAGCAAAGTCCAAAACTAGGGCAGGGGGTGAGGATGTCAGATGGAATTTAACTATTTCCATTCCTTTCCTTTCCTTTATCTTCCTATGAAGAAAGTGGAGCTGACCTGGCTGATTCCCAGGATCCCAAGGACACAGAAAAGGCCTGACTGTGGCTGATGACCCAGGTGTGCCTGGACTGGCAGGTGCCAAGCCAGGGCTTTCAGCTCTGAGACCACCTTGCCAAAGCAGGGCTCCTGGGCTCCAGGCCTGCAGTCCAGTGCCTGCAACTTGCTGGAAACTAAATGTGTCATTTTCCTGCCTGCCTGCCCATATCTGGGCACAGTTTATCGGGAATCACCCATCTGGGGCCAGGCTGTGATCTCAGAAATGCTCATGAGGTCGTGGCCTTGACGAGCAACCTCGAGGGCTGAGCTCCTCCGGAGTACCAGAGACACTGTCTGCTCCCAGGATCGGGTGCTGGCTAATGAGCAAGTCCAAGTGGGTGACCATTTTCCTTGTTGAACATTCAGAGAAAGCTGCCAAGCAGAATTGCTGTGCAGACGGAATGCTACTATGACTAACACTCTGACCCTACAAACACTGGTCCTAAGTGAGGCCTTCCCTGAGCTGGGGGACTGAACCTGTGCAGGAATTGTGCACACCTGAGCAGGCTGTGGCTCCGTGAGTGTGTGACTGTGAATGTGCTACAGCAAGTGGAGCAGGAATGTTGCTCTCTGATCCCTAAATGCACTAGATTTGTAAGTCAGGCCTGTGAGTTACTGTCACGCTTCCAGTAAATTCTACAGTCCTTTGTTAAATTCTGTAAATTAGGCTATTAATTCAGTGCTGCTATGTTTAAGTGATGGTAAAATCTGTAGGCCTATAGCTGTGGTCTACACTTTGCAGGGAGATCCACTCTGAACCCTGGGCAGGGTCTCACTTATCCCTTTGCATCCTCACCCCTTCCGATCCTTACTCTTTCTCCTGTCCTCAGCCTCCACATATATCACTTCCGTTTGATTTTAATTGTAGATTGATTGAGTCTAGATTTTGATCTCTGTGCTTGAACTGTGAGCAGTGGAGTGAAGCATGCCAATGAACTTTGTTGCACTTTTACTTTTGTGTTAAACCTGATTTGGCAATACTTGTTCCTAGTGATTCTTTGAGCAATCTAAAACACCCATTTGTGACAAACATTTTTAGATAATTAAGAATAATATTAGAATCATGTGACCATGAAGCTTTCTCCTCGTACATATCCAGGTAGCCCAACTGCCACTGAAGTACAGGAGAGGGTTATCAAGATGTGTCATAAACAAATGCGCCATGTGCATATGCAAACATCTTCTGGGGTTTATAATAAAATGTGTTGCCTTCTCTGGCTTTCCACTCTCCTTCACTTTCACCAGGAACTTCTTGATACCAGTAGTTGTTTTTCTATCCAACGTTGAGTATCCATGGTGATGTTTATAAGAAAAAATCTAATTATCTTCATAAAAGTGTTCTTCCAAGAGCTGGTTTGATACGCGGGGTTTTTTTGGGTTTTTTTTTTTTGGTCAATGATTCATGTTGGCTATCAAGCTCAACAGCACAATGCAGGCAAGGATGGAAGGAGGAATAAGAAAGGGGACATTTAGAGCTGCAAGAACTACAGAAGTGGTACTGTTTCAGCAGCAGGAGTGCTGGTATATACACAAGTGTACAGTGCCTCTCCATCTCACAGAATTAACCCAACAACAGGACTGTGAAGAGCAGTAAACTCCTCAGGAGTGGGTGCTCAGTACACAAGCTTCTCTGAGGCTGCACGGCAAAGACTGAGTATTAAGAATGTGGATAAGGTAGAGGAGAAAAGAAAGCAACGATAGTTGAAATCTTACCACAGGCAAAAAAAGCCCCAGAACATCTGTGGACATTCTCCCAACTTAGTTTTTGACAGAGAAGGTTAAAGAGTGACTAGGGAACCTGCCCTGGGAATGTTGTTTGTCTTAGTGGCTTATTCATACCATTTATCCAGCTCTTAGTCATGATGGCTTCTCATTGATCCTGCCGTGCACTTTTAAAAAACAGCCAGGCACAAACCCCCTTCACAGTGCTCCTGGAACCTTCTCTCCCCGTGATGCCGAGCCGAGTGCTGTGCAGCTGGGTGCTGTGCCGTGCCTGGCTGCTCGCTGTGCGGCCCGGGTGGCTCCTTTGGCTGCCAGCTCACCCTCACCTGCCCTGCTGCGCTCACCTGGCAGCCAGGTGCGCTCCAGGAAACCCCCCTGGAGCCTCTGGGGACCAGCAGGAGGGCTGTGGCTCACGGATGTGTGAGAGAGCACCCCGTGAGCAGCGCCACAGGCACCCAGGACTGCAGAGAGGGCGGCAGAGCACAGGGATGGGAAGGGTCAGGCTGGTTGCTGCTTGCGCGACCTGCAGACCTCCTGCCATGAATCCAAGGAAGGCGTGGGCAGGGCCCGCCTGGATTTCTGCAGAGAACATCCTTGCACTGTGTCCCAGAAGATGCCCGCAGGCGTTCTGCCAGAAGCGAGGAGGCTCAGGCAGCTGCTCCTGGATAGCCTGGAAAAAACAATGCCCAGAAGGGGTCTCACTGCTGTACACCAGAGGAGAATGAACACGCGGCACAGCAGCATCCTTCCAGCAGCACTGCGTGGCAGGGAGAGAGCCAACGGGCACAGACTGAGCCAAGGCTCCCCTCTGAACCCCGTGAAACCCTCTGTCACTGTGAGGGTGACCCAGCACAGGCACAGGCTGCCCAGAAAGGCTCTGGAGGCTCTGTCCTTGGAGGCATTAAACAAATGGTGGCAGGGTGTTCCTGGGTGATCAGGAGGCTTGGACTGCGTGACCTCCAGAGAGCCCCTCCAGCCTCAACCAGACTGCGTTTGTGTGGAGGTGTCCTAAGCTTGCATGGAAACCAAGAAGTGTCTTTGACTGTGCTTTGAAATTTCACAGGATTCTAGCCTGTGAAACTAACCAGGAATTACTGCAGAGTCAAACTTGGTCACACCTGAGGGAAGCATCTCCTTGAGCTCATCTTCCTCTCAGCCCCGTTAACTCCTGCCCTGGGTGGCTGGCAGCAGTGTGGTGGTGAGGAGGGTGATCGGTGGGTTGTTCCTCCCTTGGCCGCACCGACAGGAGATCACAAGCACAGCCAGGGAGCCCTCGGTGCTGCCCGTGCCCGGAGCAGCCCCCCGCGCCAGGGCAGCCCCCGAGGTGCTGCGGGCTGGGGGCGTGGGGGGACGGGGAGAGCGGGGCCGGGGCACGGTGTGAGAGAAGGGGGCTGCAGCTGAGAGGGTGGGGGACAGGAGGGTGAGGGGTGGGCAAGAGCAGGGTGCTGTGGGGTCTGAGTGGGGTGTGTGGGGTCTGACAGGTCTGAGGGGTCTGACATGTCTGAGGGGTGTGCGGGGTCTGACAGGTCTGAGGGGTCTGACAGGTCTGAGGGGTGTGTGGGGTCTGACAGGTCTGAGGGTTTGTGGGGTCTGACATGTCTGAGGGGTGTGTGGGGTCTGACAGGTCTGAGGGTTTGTGGGGTACAAGGAAGGTGAAGGGTGTGTGGGGTGTGTGGGGTCTGACATGTCTGAGGGGGTCTGACAGGTCTGAGGGGTGTGTGGGGTACAAGGAAGGTGTCCTGCAGTAAGGTGCACTGCAGGCAAGGGGTGTGTGGGGTCTGAGGGGTACAAGGATGGTGAAGGGTGTGAGAGGTGTGTGGGGTGTGAAGGGTGTGTGGGGTGGGAGAGGTTTCAAGGGATGTGAGGTGTCTGAGGGGTGTGTGGCGTGCAAGGAAGGCTCTGAGGGGTGTGTGGGGCACAAAGAGGGTGAAGGGTGTGAGGGAGTGTGGGGTCTGACATGTCTGAGGGGTATGAGGGGTACAAGGAAGGTAAAGGGTGTGAGGGGTGTGAGGGGTGTGTGGGGTCTGAGGGGTGTGTGGGGTCTGACATGTCTTGGTGGTCTGAGGGGTCTGACATGTCTGAGGTGTGTGTGGGGTCTGACAGATCTGAGGGGTGTGTGGGGTGTGAGGTCTGAGGGGTGTGTGGGGTGTGTGGTGTGAGGGATGTGTGGGATTTGTGGGGTCTGACAGGTCTGAGGGGTTTGTGGGGTCTGACAGATCTGAAGGATGTGTGGGGTGTGTGGTGTGAGGGCGTTTGCGCTGTGACGGGTCTCCGCGGTGCCCGCGGTGCCCGGCGCTGGACACGGCGGGCAGTGAGGGGCAGCCGGTGCGGGCGGCCGAGGGCGCTGCGGGTGCCGGGCCCCGAGCGGGGCGTGAGGCGGGGCAGCGCAGGCCCGCCGAGGCCGAGGGCGGTGCCGGGGGCGGTGCTCGCTGTCCCGGCGCTGCCGCTGTCCCGCTGTCGCTCGGCGCCGCCGGGAGCGCCGGGAGCGCCGGCTCCGTCCCGTCCGCCCGCAGCCCAGCCCAGCCCAGCCCAGCCGAGCGGCGCTGCCGCCGACAGCGCGGTAAAGTATTTGAACCAATTCGCGCAGCCTTCAGCTGGTGCTCGTGGTGCTTGCGTGTGGCTGTGTGTGCTCCGCTCCGCCGAGAAGTTTGCGGTCCCTGCGCTCGGGGAGCCCTTCGGAGCCGTCGGGGTGCGAGTTGTGGCGGAAACTTTGGGGTGGTGGTGGTGCAGCAGTTCTGGCAGCGCTGGAATGGTAGTTTTTGCTAATCAAAAGTAACTCGTGCCTGGTGAATTTGAAGTAGCAGAATAAGTTTTTATTACCCTGAGTGAATTTGCTAGGTTTAGTGTGTGTATGAAGAATCATGAAAATGCCGAAGTGCTCATGCTCTTTGAGTGTGGAAGCTTTTTTCCGAGATGAGAATCAATGACAATTTCAGTGGAATTATTCTGGGCTCTCTAAACACAACAGTGAGAGCTTGTTTAACGGTGAGGGTGCTGAGGCTCGGAGGGCAGCAGATCTGGCTCTCCCATTACACAGGTGAGGAATACTTTGCAAAGACTCCTTGATTCATATCATGCATTCGTGACACTGTTGCCTGTGTTTATTTGTTATAACGTCGATGGGCTCTTTCCCCCTCAGTGCTGTGATTAGTCTATTACATGCAGAACCAGGTTTTCATACTATGAGGTGCCTGGTGCTATTTTGTCTCAGAGTACTTTCCAGGACAATATTGCTGTTGGAAAACGAAGCTAAGCACTTTCTAAACAGCACAGTGCAGGAATATTATTTGCACAAGAATAAGAGGGATTTGTGGGTGATTTGACAGAGCAGCCTATGATTCAGTGTCACACACTGAGGTCTCATTCCTCAGACAGCCTTAAAGCTTGAAGCTGCTTTCAAAGTTTGCCTTCACAGGTGAGAGACACCTGTGTCAGTCCCAATAGCTCAGGAACTCTTGGAGTGCCTCTGACATGGCAGTTAATTCCATTTAGGAATGCTGTATAGTCCCAGTCTGTCCAGCACTGATCTGTGACGATTTATCCAATAAATTGCTATTTTAGGGAATCTGCTTGGCCGGGGGTCTTTGCCTTCAGGACACGCAGCTGTGGGGCTCCAGGAGCAGGCTGTAGCCAGTCCGGGTGTGAGATGATGAGCAGATGAAGCTGTGGCTGTCACCCAGCACTCGGGAGTGTGCTCTGCATGGTGTTGTTCCAGCTGGGAACCCCTAGCACTTTCTTTTGGTGGTACAGCATCTGAATCCGGAGTATTTCCGCGTTTCTCTTCCCCATCTCATGAATCTTCTCCTCACTTTTCTCTGCACAGGGACATCTCAGGCTTTCTCCAGGCAAGGTCATACCTGCCAGCCCCACTGGCTCCTAACTTTCCAACTTCAGCTCCTGTCCTAGGTCAGCTTCCCCCCTCAGACCAGCAAGTCCTGCTGCAGTCGGCGGAAGCGGCAAATTTCAGCAAGAGGACGGGCTGGAGGAGATGTCACAGAGGCAGCCTCACCCTCAGCCCTGACCTGCTCACCACTTCAGGTAGCAATATTCTCTCTCCCTGACTGTTTAATATTTAATGTTCTTTTGGCCATGAAAGGTATTTCTGCAGATGGAAAGGCTTATGTAATAAAAGCTGTATGCTGTCACTTAAGTAAAGTGAGCAGTTAAGTATCAGAGGAGCTTTAGATAAATAGGAAAGAAATGTAAAATCACCAGCAACTTCCAGGTAGGTCAAAAACCAGGGGAGGACACAACCAGAATTCCAACATGTGTGTTATCTACCAGGTATTTCTCTGCAGTTTCCCTCTGGAAACCTAAATGCACAAATTGATTGGATACATTTATAAAATATTTACAGTAATCATGAATACATTACTTGTCAAAAGTACACATAAAAATCATAATAATGATTTGCACTGCAATGAAAGCTGAGATAGACAGTACTGAGTCCTGTACTTTTATTATAATGGAGTGAATCCCTGAAGTCATTTCAATGCAATTACCTTTTAAAAATGTTTTATCAAGACAGAGGCGTGAAATAAACAAACCACCAGTCACAGTCAGATTTCCTCCCCAGATTTCCAGTAAATCTGACTCTATTTTTTTTTTGCTTGCTGGACTTTTGGACCAAAGTATGTTGAGATCATGCTTCAGTTTTGGTATTCACAGTAAAACAGGATACAATTACTGCTTTTCAGGTACTCACCAGACCATTACTAGTGTGTTTCCAGTGATGAATAAAAATTATTAATTTATTGCCTTTACAGTTAAACCAGTTAAACATTTTCATTTCTCTATAAATACATTGTAAATAAAGTAATGTAATCATTTAATGTATATCTAATCTTGCATTGGAACCATATTGCTCTGCCACTTATTAATGACTGGTTTTTTTTTTCCTCTAAAGGTTTTCCCTGCACACAGGTAAGCAAGCACATAGAAGACAGAGAAGTTTCAGGTGTGTGTCTGCAGGTATACATTCTTATATGACTGTATATTGTTATTTCTGTGATTTATGCTTAATGTTAATTAAGCTCTTACTTTTTGTTGTGAAACCTCCTGATTCTCTTTGATGTTGTCACATGTTCCTTTTGTTGTAGAGCTGATACTGTCTGCTCAGGCAGAGGACTGTGTAAAGGACAGTCGAAAAGTAACAAGGTGACAGTCATGCTTTAATCTTGTAATTATATTGAAGGGTTTTTTTAAAGTTTTTAACACTTTTCTTGTAAGTCTAAAGGGTGGGGAAACCTTTCCTCCTCTCTCCCTTCCCATTTCTTTCACAGCACAGGAGGGCGTGTCCCGGATCAGGTAGCGCGGTCAGGCCCCGTGCTGTTCCCGTGTCCCCGCGGGCAGGGCCATGGAGGCGGCGGACGTGCCGCCCGAGGGCTACTCGCTGATCAAGGCCGTGTACCAGCGCCGGCTGCGCCTGACGCGGCTGCTGATCGACGGCGGGGCCTACGTCAACGAGAGCAACAGCCGCGGCGAGACGCCGCTCATGGTGGCCTGCATGACGCCCCACGCCGACCTGCAGAGCGCCAGCAAGGCCAGGATGGTCAAGTACCTGCTGGACAACAAGGCCGACCCCAACATCCAGGACAAGTCGGGCAAGACGGCGCTGATGCACGCCTGCCTGGAGAAGGCGGGCCCCGAGGTGGTGTCGCTGCTGCTGATGAGCGGCGCCGACCCCAGCCTGCCCGACCACTCCAACTGCTCCGCGCTGGTCTACGCCATCAACGCGGCCGACAGAGACACCCTGGAGCTGCTGCTGAAGGCCTGCAAGGCGCGAGGGAAGGAGGTCATCATCATCACCACCGACAAGTCCGCCTCAGGGAGGCAGAAAACGAAGCAGTACCTGAACGTGCCTCCTCCAGACCTGCAGCAGTGCACCTCCCCAGCTGACTGCGCCTCCCCGTCAGAGATAGAGCCCAGCGAGGGTCCAGAGGACCCGTTCAGCTTCAAAGAGCTCTATGGTGGGCAGCCGGGGGACAGCTCCTCTGAAAGGGTGCCCCTCATGACCAAATCCAGCTCCACACCAGCTCGGTTCAAGCTGACGCAGGTGCTGCAGTGTGACCCGTGGCTCAAGTGCTGCCCAGCAGTGTTTCAGCAGAGGAAACTTGCTTCTCCTCAAGAACTTCAGAGCATCAGTCCCATGGAAGAGCTCCCCTGTAAAGCTGGCGGCCTTGACTTGTGCAAGAGTGTCACGGCCAGCCACGAGAGCAGGGACAGGAAGGGCACTGCTCAGGTACTGAGACCCTCTGACCAAACCATGCCCAGGAAAGCACAGCGCGATGCAATAAACTATCAGACTCCTTTTGTGGAAGAGAAACATAACCCCAGTGAGATTCCCATGGGCATGGATGCCAGTCTGGGACAAATCAGCTTGCTTTCTAACATTGGCAGTATTATCAAGAAAGGAAGTGGGGAGCCAAATTACAACATCTCCAGTTCTCAGTTAGCTAACAGTCTAATTCCTGCTGCTGATACCAAAGGTAGTAAGTCACCAAAAGGAAATAAAGAGATTCTTCCTACATACCAGACTTTGTTACCAAGTCCGAGAAGAGTTCTGGAGATGTCTCCTGTGTCTCCAAGAGGCAGAAATCAGGCTCCTCTAGAGGCAGAGGGCTCAGGAGCCCTGGTGTTGGATCAGACGAGGCCAGGTTTCCTGCCCCCACTGAATGTGAGCCCCCGCCCCCCCGTTCCAGAGCTCACTGTCATAAACACAGTTTCTGGAATGATTTCTTATGGACAAACTCACTTAGTGCCCCCAGGATCTGCTTTCCCTAAGGGGACCAAAGAGACGAATCTGCTGCGGCGGAGGCCGTACGAGCAGATCACAGTCTGAGCAGGTTCAGCAGTCACTGCATCTTTACAGGAGAGCAAAGGGGATCTTCATGATATGTAAATATTCACTGCAGTCCTTGACTGTAATGGTATGTACCGCAAAATAGAGCAGGTCTGTGATGTAAAGTAATGTCTGCCTCAGGATGAGTGCTACAGCACAGAAACCAAATCCAAAGACATCTACTGAGGCTGTCTTCTCCAAACTAAGGAGCGTTTATTTTGCTGGTTCTGTAAAGTTTTCACCTTGCCTCTGACAGACAGCCCACAACAGTCCTTAGGCATTGCAGTTCTCATTGCAGGTTGTAAATGCTACCCCTCCAAGCTTTCCCCAAGCACCCGCCCTTGCCGCGCCCAGAGAGGTGGTGCACACGGAATTTGGGACCCCGCAGCGTGTGATGCGATGCTGGACGCCGGAGTGCCTGTGTGCAGGTTGTACATAGAAACCCCCGAGAGCCCGGCGTGCGGCGGGCTGCGCGGCAGCAGTTGCACAGCGGCAGTGACTGCTGGCCTCAGCAGCCTCGCAGGCGCGTCAGAGCCGGTGACACCGGTGTGGCCGGGCTGTGCTGCCCGCGGAGCCCCGGCTGCGGGCTGGCAGCGTGCCCCGGGAGCCAGCAGGGCGAGTGACCTGCCCGGGGCGTGCCACAAGCCAGCCCCGCTCGGGCTGCGCCAGCGGCAGCCTCCGCAATCCGCTCCCTTGGGAAGAGCGGGGCTGCGGGGGCACAGCCTCGCCTGGAGCGGGCTCTGCAGCCTCCTGCAGCTCGGGAGCCCCCGGAAAGAGACCTGCCCGGCAGGCTGGGCAATGTGCCCCAGCGACAGCCCTGCTCGCCGGGCTGCGGACACCGGGACACACCCGGGGTGTCTGCGCGAGCAGCGGCTGCACACACACACACAGATTTGGGAGCAGGGAAGAGCTCTGTCCTCCCGCTCACACAGACCCCAAAGGGAGAACCCCACAGCTCCAGGGAAGGTGAGGCCCTGGCAGTTTCCCCAGGGAAGCTGTGGCTGCCCCATCCCTGGGAGTGTTCCAGGGGCTTGGAGCCACCTGGTCTGGTGGAAGGTGTTCCTGCCATGGCAGGCACCTTGGAATGAGATGGCCTTTTATTTCAGAGGGTTTCCAACCAAACCACTCTGTGATCCTGTGAGTCTGATTATGAAACTCACCTGGGAGATGGAAACCCACATTTTGCCTAACTGGAAACAGAGGGCAGAATTTCCCACAGGTGGAAAGAAGTCCTCTGCAGCCTCCGAGCTACTGTGTATTTTTCAGTATCTCTGTCTAAAAATCTTTCTTTCCTTTAGTGTCTTGTGGTTCCAAGTATCTCCCTTGTCTTTGTGTGCATCCCATAGATGCTGGATTTCTGGTATTGCATTTAGCACTTAGATCTCATCTTGTAAATTTTGAGAAAAAGTGAATGTGTTCTGTTTTGTTGTATTTTACAGAAATTAGTTGTATTGAAATTGTGTCTGTGTAACGTGAATTTCAGTGTACTGAAAGTAGGTATTTATTTCCTGAAAATACTCAGTGGGTATGTGGCAGCTTCAGTCAAAGTTCACCATATCTGACATTGCCTAAAAAAAGCCTGTAATGTTATTTAGCTTTGCACTTAGTAGGAGACAATTTAACGGGGATCTTAAGTATAAAACAGTGCTAAGGGGATCTTAAGCATAAACCAATTTAAAGAGGATCGGAGACATCAAACAATTTGAAGGGGATCACAAACATACAAATATTTAATGGGGATCATCACCATAAAACAATTTAATGGGGATTCTAAACATTAAACCATTGAAAGGGGATTATAAACATATGCTCTCTGTAAATAACTTTTTGAGAGTATTTGTTTCCATTCAGGTTCTGCCTTTTCCTTCAGGAGATTTTCCTGGATCAGGCCCTGTACACACCAGGTACAAAAAAGTATTATGTGGACATATTTTTATGATACAGAAATTATGTGGAACAACATATGCCAGTATTAACTGAGTACAAATTAGTCCCCTACACAGGATACACTTTCCAAATGTTTCTATGATAATACAAAAGGAAAGGGCAAGTTCTCATCTGTTAATCTCATAGTGAAGTTAAATATTTGAAGGGGAAAATAGATCTTTTAAAAATAAAAATTCTTTCTTAGTAGAAATTGACTATCACCAGGTGTTCCAACTGGTATCTTTGCTGAGGGTATGAAGCCCAATTTATACTGTTTTGATCTTAAAATTAATTATCTATATGGGACTATGGCTCCCTTAAATGAGACCATAATTTTTCTATGAAGTGCTCAGACAATGGAGGGAAGTGGCAAGTGTCTTGAAAAGGGAAGTTTTTTGGTAGTGTTACCAGTATTTTGTGATTAATTGTGATGCAAAGTAGCGTGAAGTGTTCATATAATTGTTTGTGTTGCTGTTACGAGTGACCTTCAAAGGAAGAAGCGTTGTTCTCTTGCTGTTGTTATGCTGAATAAATAAAAGTATTTTTCCCCCTCGGAGGGAACATGGAAATAAGCACATGCTTTTATTCACTACTCAGGAAATGATGAGTCATTGCAAAAGGTACTCACTCACAAGTGTTTCTCAGGCTGCCTCTGTACAAGAAAATGGGAACAGTTACTTCGATTTAATCCAATACAGCTAAATTTGTCCAGAGTGTGGTGCGAGAGAGGCTCTTCCCAGCTGCCGGAAGCTTCCTGCGGCTCCACTTGTGGAGCAGAGATGCACTTGTGTTGTCTTTGAAGCCTTAATCCATGACATTTCCCAGCCACCCCGATGTTCTTTTCAGCACAGCGCGGTCAGCCCGACCCGGGTGCCCGACGTTAACTCCCGGGTTAAAAACAAGCCCTTTCGGTGTCCTTGCTGCTCCCGGCACAGGGAGCACTCCGGGCTGACCGACAGCCACACACCCCCGGGGCAGGGAGGATTTCAAACCCACCTGCCTGCCGGGGAAAGGTGGGAAACAATTCGGGATTTGTCCCCCTCGTCTTCGTTTTCCCTGCACAATGCTGTGAGACCACACGGTGAAAGTGACTTCAAAACAAATAGTGGCGGCTCCACAAAAAGCTGTGATTATGTCAGAACTCCCATTATTTTGGTTTGGGAGATTTGAGAACAGCAAGTCACTACACAAAAATGTCATAAACTAGCAGTTCTCAAGGTTGTGTTTAAGGTGCAATGTTCAAAATACAGGCTTCAAAATATCTTTCCCTGCACATTTAATTTAGTTTTGCTTTTAAGGAGTAATTGCTTTGTTTTGATCTTTGTCTTTTACAACTACGTGGCACGTCCGAAGGAATATTGCCATAATTTGATGCAGCTATACAAGAAAACCAGTAAACTAAGTAGCAGGCACTAAATTTCCTTTTACCTCATCAATCCCATGTAAGACCTTTATCTCTCTGCATGCCATATCCAGCAGAACTAATGACTTTCCCACCCAAAGCAAGGGATTTATGAATAAAGATTCTTACATTTTCACTGTAAGGTACTACTGCATTAACCTCAAGGAAATCAGGTTTCATAACAAAACCCCTTAAGAGAGCCCAGGGGGGTTTTCAGAGTCAAAAGGACAAATTTCCAGTTGTCATCACTAAATATTCCAATAAAACACCCAGCTGTCTACCCTCTTGGAAAGACAACAGGTTTTCACTCCTGCACACAAGTTGACCTTTTTTGTGAAAAAGCTCCCCAACATACAGATATATCTATCCACATATATATGTATATGTGTAAATATGCAAAATTCCTGTTTCTCAGCAGCGCCTGTTACCTGAGCCAGGCATTTCCTGGGCTGATGACGCAGGCAGCTGCAGAGCTCCTGTTAATCCAGGAGTTTTGTCCCCAAAATTATGTCCAGCTAGGTAAAAATGATGGTGGGGTCTCACGGTGAACATCAGAGATATTTTCTAGAAATGTACAGGGAGCTATTTATTCTCAAGTTCCTGAAACCCAGGCATGCTGAGGAACTGCATCAAATTCCTGTATTTTTTTCCCCAAAAGCATCAGCAATTTTGAACACTTTCATGCGAGTTTTGCAGACAGAGGGAGTTCAGCCTGCCTTCTCTCAAGAACATGTTGATTTTTAAATATAAGCCTGACCTGTACATATATTTTACAGCCACATTAATGTCTCACTGCCAGCCCCACAGCAACACATTTTATTTCAGGAGGGCATTTGAATAAACACAGAGAAACCAAATCAAATTAATTTATTTATGTGCAAGTCAGACTAAACTGTCATAAACAACTTCACAGGGGACTAGCAAAGATACGCAGGTAAAATTACTTACAGAAATTCATATATATAGATTAATCCATACAGAATAATAATATTCACCACATAGCCATTTCCTGGTAATCCAGATGATGTCTTCTTTAATTTTACCTGATTATCCTGTTTACTGACATCCACAGATATTGCTCAGGTGTACTTCTTCCTTAAAAATACTTCTGGCAATTGCTGATGTTTTTTACTTAATAGTTTAATGAGTTTTAACAAATCCCAGTACTTCAGGTGGGAACTGGTCAGGGGGAAGATTTCTAAGCAGCAGAAAAATGTGTCCCTGTGGTCCCAAAGAGGCCTACCACTGAGAGATGAAATCCTGCAAATCAATGAATGCAACTGCCTGCAACAAACCACAACTGAAAAATGAATCGTTTCTCGTAACTCACTGTAGAAATCACACAGCCAAGCCTGAGCCTTTGGTAGTTACTGGCACTCACTTTGTGAGTGATTAAATTAAATCAAGTACTCTGTTTAGCTATCCCAAAATCAGGTCATTTTCTTTCTTATGTGGAAAAATTAGTTCCCAATTTTAGCCCAGCACACCTCAGTAGATGGCCAAAATGAAGAAAGCTCTACCCCTCAATAACAGAAAACAACTATTAGATAAATCTCTCAAAGGAGTTGTGGGTAACAGAAGGGAGTCTTGAATTTTAATGTGAGATCACAGTAATTCAAGATTCAGCATTAAGAAATGCAGCTACCTTTTCTATCACAGCTGTATCAATGCCATGTAAGAGCCAAAAGTACTGTAATTTACTTTAGTACTAAAGCTTGTAAAATGTTGTCTACACTGTCTGTTAGGTTAACAGGTGAGTTAATAAAATTCCCATAGGAACCACGTGAGAGGAACGGGAAAAGGAGGACAAAAAGTTGACCAAGTAATGCTTCTCAGGGCATTAGCTGATTCAGAAGCTAAAATGTCCTAAATGTGATTGTGTTTTGGTTTTTCTGGTACTGTTTGTGGTGTTTGGCAGAAGCCGATCCCACAGGGCCAGTGTCTCAGTCTGTGTGAATTCTGGGGAACTGCAGCAGCAAAAGAGGCAATAAAAGATGTCAAAGAACCAGGTCAGGCTCTTCCTGCAGGGGTTTGGCTTTTGTTGCAGGACATTTCCACTGTGGAAAACTCTGAGAGCTGCAGGACTGCATGGGCCCAGTGAGGGCTGAGCCCAGCTGCCATCACCCGGGGACAGCGCTGGGGAATGTCCCTGCAGCCCTGGGGACAGCCCTGGGGAATGTCCCTGCAGCCCTGGGGACAGCCCAGGTGTGGGGACAGCTCTGCTGGGGACAGCTCAGCCCTGGGGACAGCTCTGCACTGCTGGCACAGCCAGCCCAGCTCCAGCACCAGCCAGGGCTGCTCCCTGGCCGTGGCACAGTGACCAGGGGCAGAGCAGCTGGCAGTGCCACCCTCCCCTCCTGGAGTGTGGCACCACGAGTCCCATGCCATGAGCAGGGACAAGGAGGAAGGCACTGCACTCTGCCTGAGGGGCCTTTCTGCACAGTGCCAAACAAAACCTGCTCCAGTTGCACAGGCGTGCTCCACACGGTCCTTCTGGCAAGGAAACTGCATTGCTTGGAATAAAAAATCCTCACAGTTAAAGGGGTTTACAGTATAAAGCACTAGAGGGTCAGGCATTGCCTGCTTTGCATTTACTGTTCTATTCCAATGGCTTTTTTGAATTCAGAGTTTTGTGGCTCAAAAATGTCGTAGTAAACCCTACTTTTATCGAAATTGTCTCGGATGAGAAGCAAGTCGTCTACAGAATACACATCCTCCTTTCCTGTCCAAACAGTGAGGCTGTACCTATGTCCAGAGAAAGGGAGAAAACGAACAAAACAAAGAGAAAAAGAGTATGTCAGGATAAAGCATGGAAACCAGGAAGACACTGCACTAATAGACTCCTAAAAATACTCAGGATTACAGCATCCTAACTTTAGAAAAGTAATTAAATACAAACAACTGCACCCCCAGAGCAATTTATCTGTGACTGTTCTACCAAACCTCAGAGAGATTTAAATTAAAAACTTCAGGTAAATATCCAGCAAAGAAATTTACCAGAATAAGCATTTCAGTTTTGGTAAATTGATCAACAGCCACAAACTGAGCCTCAAAACAGGAAATATGATGCAATCCCAGACACAGGTGATTGCTGTGCTCTGTGCTGTGTCACATCAGTGATGTGTAGAGATGCCACCTAAGCCAAATCTCATTAATTGCACAGAACTTCTCAAAAAAACACTGAAATCCCCCAAAACATCATTCAGTTAAAGCATTACTTCCACATCCTCCACATGACTTATATATTTAGGTTTTCCCCCTTGTTTAGCAAAATTGTGTTACTTTAAAAAATTGATACATCAGAATTCAGTTGTATGTGAGCAAAACTGGCTCAGGAATTTCTGTCTTCTAATGCCATTGAAGAACCCCCCTGAGTCTTATGAGGTAAAAGAGCAAATCCTAATATTTCCGTGAAAATAATGTTTGTATCCAATGATATTTGAAATTGACACAATTATTAAGATACATTCCTAATGCAATAGTATTTTTTAATCAATTTCCTAGTTTTAACTGCTTAATTCTAATTTCTGTTTTCAGTCTTCACCGTAAAAAAGAATATCAGCACTTTATTTGCCCGCCCTGTTGTTCTAAATAATTAGAAATTTTTCAGAGATTCCCTTAGGTTTTCTGTCTTGGGCTTAGACCTTGGCTGGAACAGTTTTATTAAGCTGTGGGTAGGCAAAGCGGTTGAAAAAGATGAGTAAATGGCAATATATGGGAAGCTGGTTTTATTCTCATTCTATTACATGTGAATAATTTTTATAATGAAATGGTTAGGGGTTGGTAAGAATTATTTCTAAAGGACAATGTAAGTTCCTGTATGAAAACCACTGAGTACATTTCAAGTGCCTCAGCAAAATTAATTAGCTTGGAGGGAAACACCTGATTTCCAATCTAAAAATCATCTTTGACATTTTTCAAAAATGCTATAAAATAACATAAATAGCGAATCCAATACAAAGTCTTTGGATTGCATGAATTCTCAATTGCAACATCAGACTATTTAGTCTATTTAACTACATTAATCTCAGGAAATGTTTGCAGCACAACTGGGTTGCACACCTACGCACCATTCAAAAGTCCTCATAGCAGGTAATGAAAAATAAGGTTATGGGATTTAACTACTTTACAGAAATTAATAGTGGCCACTTCTGTCTGAGGACTGAAAGGCTTTGAGGCCTGTGGGAAGGGAAGCACCGGGAGGAGAATAATTTCCAGTGCCAGTGGGCTGTGTGTGACACAGGGCTGCTCAGGACGGGCGAGGGGCTGGCACTGGGCTGGCCCTGCCAGCCCTGCAGCTGAGGGACACGCTGGGAGCAGCACTGACCTGTGGCACTGCTGCAGCAGCCACTGCAGCTGCGGGACGGAGCCGGGCACCAGCGCAGCCCTGACCGCGAACGTCACCGGCTGCGACAGCGGGTGGCACAGCCGCCACATCTCCTGCACCAAGGGCCACTCGTAGCCTGGGGACACACAGCACACTGAGAGCTCACACAGCCCTGGGGACACCCATGGGGACACACAGCCCCGGGGACAGACACAGCCCCGTGCCCCTGGGGTCCCTCTGGAGACACAAAACCTGCACATCCAGCGTTCCTGAACACCAGGCAATTCCACCATGACACTGCTCCGTGGCTCTGGGCAACAGATGTCCCAGAGGAAAATTGCAATACATGCAATATCCGCATGGAAAATGAACTTGCTATGAAAACCTTTATTTCCTATTCTTTACACACACCCTTACTTACTTGCAGCTACAGAATGTGGCATTTTCAATGCATCTTGTGCCCTTTCCCTAAAAAACTCTGCTGCCACTGACTTCAATATGGCCTAGTTTAACGTTGTCAGGGTACACCCTTACTTACTTACAGCGACAGAGCATTTTCAATGCATCTTGTGCCCTTTCCCTAAAAAACTCTGCTGCCACTGACTTCAATATGGCCTAGTTTAACGTTGTCAGGGACCCTTTACAATAAAAACAGTAGGGAAAAATTAGGACAAAAAGTTAAATTAATCCACTAGCAATGAAGATGTAGAAAATCAAACACATGTGGCCACTAACATTCTGTGCCTAAAAATGCTACAATCAAGCAATCTAAAATACAGAAAGTGCCTTTGCCAGTTTTACAAGGACTGGAGCTATTTAAAATATTATTTACCTGTTCTTTTGCTTCTACAGGTTATGAAAATCCCATATAGCAGTTAATACCTTTTTCCTCAATTGCTCAGATGGAACATAGTGACTAGAAAGAGTAAAAATGCACTAAATATTAAAAAAAGTTTTCTGGGGCAAGCAGCAACTTTTAGGTGAAATCACTCCAATGAGCTGGTTTTCTTAAGTTTTATAGCACAACTTCACACAGTATTTCCATAAACTGACATTTTGAATGGAGATAAAATGAAATTTGTTTTCACAGGTTAACCAGTATTTCTAATGCATTTTCCAGCATTTTTTTCCTGCACTGGAAATACTTGGGAGAAAGCACTGAAAACTGTAATAACACTGCAGTATATCATACAACAAAATACTAACTTTGGCTAATGAGCAAGGAGCAATGGGAGTGGTGTATAATGCTGGCATGGTGCCCTCAGACAATATTGGAGGGGACTCTGCCTCTCATCATGAGCATTGCAAGAGAAAGCTTGTGAAAAAGACCCTATAATAATGCAAATTGGAATGTTTACTGCAGAAATTCAAGATTCCAAGAGAAATGCAATATTAGGGATAAGGCTGACCACAATTTGATTTCAGTGGTCAAAAAAAGCAGAGATGAAGTTCCACATTTTCAGGTGATCTGTTTCTCCTCAGGACACATGCCAGGGCTCCGACCAGGTCAATGCTCCCAGGATTCAGGGACAGCCCTCCCTGAAACAGAGGCTAAGGGGTTTGTCCCTCAAAAGTGCTCAGCAGGTGAAAAGGAGTTGAAGCAGAAACCAGCTTATTTTAGGAACAGAAAGATGTGAATGTCACCCAGTTGTGCCGCCACTGCAGCAATGGACTGACTGCTGCACAGTGCTCTGTCCAACACTGTGGGGAGATGGGATATAAGAAAATAAAGGCAGTGCAGAAAGTAATCTCACCCTAAGGAGCTGCAGCATGGCCAGTTACCAAAGATCAGGAGCAGGCCTGACTGCAACAGGCCACAGCTGCCACCAGTGAGAAGAGTGCTGGAAAAGAGTGGGTTGGCTGGTTGAGGAGGAGCTGGAGTCAGCTGCTTTGTGAGGAGAAAGTTAGTGCTCTGAAGAGCTGCCCACGAGAAAACACCAAGAAGGTATGAAACTTTTGTGATAAAGAGACAACAACATGGAACTTTTGCAATAACATGACAACAGGAAAGCCCAGCACGGGACAGGGTTCCACAGTCACTGCCAGGACACGGCCTGGGGCTGCTGCCAGCTGCACATGCCCTGGAAGCGAAGGAGCCAGCCCTTACCTTGGCCTCGGTGGCAGCCCGTGGTCCAGCCCAGGGACAGGGTGGCCTCGGGGCAGGAGGAGGTGACGGCGCCCAGGAAGGCGCGGGCGTCCAGCGGCGCGCAGCCCCCGCGGGGCCCCGGCAGGATGTCCCCGTTCAGCCACACGGGCGCGTCCAGGCCCTGCCCCGCCTGCCCCAGCAGCTCCAGAGACGGTCCCACGGCGGCCAGGCTGTGCCGGGACACAGGGCGGGGTCAGGGGCGGCAGTGTCACCGCCGTGTCACCGGGCAGGGCACTGCCAGCTGCTGGCTACACCTGGGGTTTCACTCCCAGACTGCCACCCCTGCTCCCGGCACTGCCCGGCCTCGTCACCTCTGCATCTCAGGGCTGAGGAGGGTTTTAGCAAAGGCAGCCACTGCAGCCTCCAGCACTTGTGTTTCATCAGACCTGAGAGCCACAAATGCTGTAAGTTCAGCCCAAAGAGTGGAAGCCATCTCTCCTCATCCTCACCAGGCCCAAAGGGGCTAAGATTTTATCACTATGTCACATCCAGACTCAGAGCTACCTTTGGATCCATGCAAGGCGATGCACCTGTACTAGGAGAATAAGAAGCCCAACACACACCAGTTTAAGGCAACTAAAAGAGAGAGAAGGCGCCTGTAAAGGTGATCCTCCCATGTGTGAGGACACGAGGCTTGACTCCACTTTCATCAGAAGGCTGATTTATTATGTTATATATTACATTAAAATACTGCATTAAAACTATACTAAAAGAACAGAGAGAGAGGAAGATCAGAAGGCTACAAAGACCAAGAATAGAATAGAATAGAATAGAATGCATCACAAAATCCTGTGCCTGCTCACAGCCTGGGCACAGGTGGCTGTGGTTGGTCACCAATTCAAAACAATCCACAAGGACCAATGGAAGATGCACCTGTGGCATTCCACAGCAGCACACAGTTATTGTTTGCATTTCTTTCCTGAGGCTCTCAGCTCCTCAGGACAGGAAAAATCCTAGCAGAGGATTTTTCATAAAATAGCATGGCTAGAGGCACCCACTTGAACATTTAATGCCTGGTTGTGCTTTGTCCCACAGTTCCTAAGTGTGGCAGCACACAGAAGCCTGCCTGTCCAATGATCATCTGACAGATCATTATTGAATTGCTAAACATGAGCTGGCATCACTTGAGGAACCAGTGCAGACACTCTGTGAGCATTTAAACAAAACTATGGTCACATATTCCTACTGTCCTGTCCAGCCACAAGAATAAGCACAGTTAGCTTTTCTCTACTTCTAGCCTACCAAAACTTTCGAAGCACTGTGGAAGGAAAGGAGATGGTAAAAAATGGGGAAAAGAAATGAACAAGAAAATCTTTCTGTCATAGCTTATTAATTAATGCTCTATGTAACATCGAGGAATTTAAAATCACTGTGGTCAGGGTTTTAGAATTAACTTAGTTCTACACCCAACACCTCATCCCCTGAGCTGCTTGTCGTGTTTCCTCTGTGAAGTCACTTTGTGTGTTCTGTCCTTTGTGCTGCTGGGAAGGCAAGAAATTTAAAATCACTGTGGTCAGAACTAATTAACTTAGTTCTACACCCAACACCTCATCCCCTGAGCTGCTTGTCGTGTTTCCTCTGTGAAGTCACTTTGTGTGTTCTGTCCTTTGTGCTGCTGGGAAGGCTGCAGAGCAGCAATTCCACCCACTGGAGATGAGCTCAGGCTCTCCAGGAGGAAAGCCAGTGATGGCTGGAGATCAGGTGTGGGCTGCAGCACTTCTGACACACTCTGGGGCCACAACAGTTGCTATCTTCACATATGCAAGGGACTGTCAGGGCCAGAGGAATGCCTCCCCTTGTACTGCACAGTGTAAGGTAATGCAGTGAGAAAGAAGCACAAAGCAAAATGGCAACACAGGGTTAAAAAAAATAAAAAAGAAGGAAAAAACAAAACAAAACAACAACAACAAATCCACTCCCCAAAAACTGCAAACCCCAGAGCACTGGTTTTGTTGCACAGCATTTAGAAAACTCAGACTTACTGCTGACTTCCTGTGAAATGACTTTGGCATTTCTGAAGTGGGACACTGAAGACCTTTTGCAGAATACATTACTTTCAGTAGCCAAAGCCAGCAGGAAATGCAATTATGTGGTCAATCAGGCTGACAGAACAGAGATATAAAAAGTATATTTTAAAAGCACCACTGAAATTATCTCCACAACTTCAGCAATGGCATCCAATTAAATATTATGCAAAGGAACATCAAATTCTGCTATCACTTATTTGACGCTATCTGCGCCGTGTGATGTACTTTTAAATGTTTTTATACAATCATACTTTTAAAATGCCATGTACTTTTAAAAGTTTTCTTCAGTCACTCCACTTGGCTATAAACTCCTTGTGGAAAAATGAAAGGTAGGTAGTTTAAAATTAATTTAAACAATACATAAAGTGGAGGAAAACCTTCACCAAAATAAGAAACAAGCCCAAACAAATGCCGACTGCTCTTTTTTCCCTTCTCTGCCCAGAAGGACACACATAGATCCTGTGACAATAAAAGGATTTAGCCTGCCCACGTTTCTTACTTTTGTGATCTTTCACATGGAAACTGTGACTGTGTAACACAGAACTACAGGCAAAAATCACATTTCACAACTATCTCCTGGGGGGTTTTGCATTTCTGTGGAGTACTGAAGCACTGATGAAGCTCTTTCTAATTTGCTGCCAAAACAGACTGAGAAATTCAGGCAAAGCAAGAGTCAGGAGCTGAAGGGGTGCATGTCTGGAAATCACAGCTCCTTTCAAACTCTTCCAAGGCAATCTGAGATTTGCCACTCGAGGAATGAAACAGCTAATGGTTCCATCTGTGGTTGAACCTCTGAACATTTAGTTAGTAAGGGCAGAGGGAGGAGCCTTCCAGAGAGGCACCAGCACTTCACCTTCTCCATGGGAAAGTTCTGCTCACAGTACCTAATTCACTGAGTAAAAAAAAAAATCATTAGTTAGTTCAAAATAATTACTTCAAAACACTTCTAAAGGTTTTGTTCTTGCCATGCTTTGAGAATTAAGGACTCTGTTTCCACATGGATTATGCCTCTGAATGCTGACCTGCACAACAAGGAGGGGTTTGGCTGACAATCACCTGCAGACCTGCAGGAATGCAAACAACACGGCAATCTTTTTGCTGAGGTACCTCTTGAAGTCGAGCTTGATGCCCTTGCTGGTGCTGCCCATCTGTGCCAGCCACTCCTGCAGGGTGATGTCGCTGTCGGTGTCGGGGGGGTGAGCCAGGATGGGCTCCCCGTCCCCTCCCCGCAGCACCACATCCACCTCCACCATGTGCACGGCGCCTGGGGACGCAGACATCAAACCTCAGCTCCCAACAGTCACCCAGCACATCTGCCCTCACCAGCCCCTGCACCCTCGTGCCGGCTGTGACACCAAGATGCCATGCTGGGGGGTTTCCAGGCACTGAACTCTTGGCAAGCCCTACAAACAAGTGAAAATTGATGTTTGAGGGTGCATTTGGCCAAGCAGCCACGTGGGGCTTTTTCTTCTTCAAGGGAATGGATAAATGGACATCCAACGTGTGAACCCCCTGTTGTCAAGTTTCAGATATTTTCCTCTGGAAATAGGGTTTTTGAGAGAGGAAAGATGAGTGCAGGATTTAATGCTGGCAGAGACTGAGCATTCCCCTTGACTCACTGCCAAAACCGACAAGGAAAATGTTAGCTGACACACTCGACAGGCAAAGAGGGGTCTCAGGAGTGCCCAGGCTGCTGAAAACAGCTTCATGTAATGAATCTGGGCAGTGCTGCCAGCTTTGCAGAGAACCCAGTACACACAGTGAAATACGCAAAACCAGATGGCGATGGTATTCAGGATAAAGGATACTATATATATACATTTACACAAATATGGGTCTGTCAAATATTCACATGAACTTACATACAATTCACATCAATTTACAAACAATTCACAGAAATTTACATACAATTCACTGCCGCCCAGGCTGGTGCACCAGGGCCCTTCTGGCTCTGCACAACTTTTCCCTCACAGGACGGGACACACAGGGAAGATTTGGAATCTTATCCCAGGAACAGGGACAGGAGGAGAGGGAACGGCCTCAGGCTGGGCCAGGGCAGCTCACGGTGGGCAGGAATTTCCCCATGGAAAGGGGGCTCAGGAACTGCCCTGGCACTGCCCAGGGGGGTCTGGAGTGCCCATCCCCACAGCCGTGGGGATCCTGGAGGAGGGAGAGGAGGAGGAGGGAGAGGAAGGGGCCTGTGCCACACTCACTTCGCGCGGCCTCCGCCGCCCGGGCCCTGCTGTTGGCGGCGTGGAACCAGCGCACGGCGGCCCCGTCCCTGGCCGCGATGTGCCCGGTGCGCAGGAAGTGATCCACGGGCCACTCGCTCCAGGCGCCTAAGGGGACACGGCGGGGACACGGCGGGGACACGGCACGGAGCCCTCAGCGCGGCCCGCCCGCCCGAGACCGCCCCGGCCCGGCCCCGGGACCGCCCTCACAGCCCCGGCCGGGCCCTCACAGCCCCGGTTCATCCCTCACAGCCCCGGCTCGGCCCTCACAGCCCCGGTTCATCCCTCACAGCCCCGGCTCGGCCCTCACAGCCCCGGCTCGGCCCTCACAGCCCCGGTTCATCCCTCACAGCCCCGGCTCGGCCCTCACAGCACCGGTTCATCCCTCACAGCCCCGGCCCGGCCCCGGGACCGCCCTCACAGCCCCGGCCGGGCCCTCACAGCCCCCGTTCATCCCTCACAGCCCCGGTTCATCCCTCACAGCCCAGCCCGGCCCCGGGACCGCCCTCACAGCCCCGGTTCATCCCTGACACCCCCGGCCCATCCCTGACACCCCCAGCTCATCCCTGACACCCCCAGCTCATCCCTGACAGCCCCGGCTCACCCCTCACAGCCCCGGCTCGCCCCTGACAGCCCCGGCCCGGCCCCGGCGCTCACCCCGCGCCCCGCTCGCCATGGCCCGGCCCGCTCCCCGGTCCCGCCCCGCCGGGGGCTGGTCCCGCCGCCTTCGCGCCGGGCGGGGCCGCGCCGCGCTGAGGCACGGTGGGGAGCGCGGCAGGACGATCCCGAGCGGCGATGTCTGCCTGTGTGTGCTGTGGAGCCTCAGCCGCAGGGAGGGCCCGAGGCGCGCACAGGGAGCGGCTGCAGCCCGCGGACACCCGGGGCTGCGAACGCTGTGGCACGGGAGGCAGTCACATCGAGAGAACAGGGCAGGCTCAGGGTGGGCACAGCAGGGATTTCCCCGTGGAAAGGGGCTCTGGCGCTGCCCAGGGGGGTGTGGAGTGCCCATCCCTGGAGGTGGCACCCAGAGCTCTGGGCTGGGGACAGGGTGGGGAGGGGTCAGGGACCAGTCTCGGTGATCTGGGGGGGCTTTTCCAGCCCCCTGGATTTGGGATTGAGTGGCTGAGAGCTGTGCCAGCTCTGGCGCTGCCCAGGGGGTGTGGAGTGCCCATCCCTGGAGGTGGCACCCAGAGCTCTGGGCTGGGGACAGGGTGGGGATGGGGCACAGCTGGGACTCCATGGGCTGGGAGGGGTTTGCCAAAATCATTAATTCTGTGTGAAATCTGGATGTTGGTGCAGACCATGCCTGGCAGCCTGGTGGAAATGCTCAGGCCCACCTGTGCTGAGGGCAGAAGCAGGGGCCTAGCCCGGCCGGGGCCACCCCGCCTGGTGGCAGCTGGGTCCCTGCTGGCAGAGGGGCAGGGCTGGGGCAGATCCCAGCTCTGTCTTTGTGTCAGGAACGTCGGTGCTGGCAGGGAGAGAGCAGGGGCTGGTGGAGCACCTTTGCAGGGAGTCACAGTTGGAATGAATCCCATTTTTGGGGCACCATCATGAGTCCCAGAAAGCTGCAGAGACAGGACACACACATGCCAAATCCGTCTCTGTTTCATTACAAATAAGAGGCGGAAGGTTGCAAGCACTGTAGTTAACTTTATTGATCATTACTGAAAAGGAGTTAGTAGAGGTTAAGTGGCAGGAGGCAGCTGCTCCTTCAGGTGCCCTGGCCCTGTCACAGACCCTAAACACTGTTCAGCCTCGTGCTCAGCTCGGCAGGGGCAGAGCCCGGCCGGGGCCACCCAGCCTGGTGGCAGCTGGGTCCCTGCTGGCAGAGGGGCAGGGCTGGGGCAGATCCCAGCTCTGTCTTTGTGTCAGGAACGTCGGTGCTGGCAGGGAGAGAGCAGGGGCTGGTGGAGCACCTTTGCAGGGAGTCACAGTTGGAATGAATCCCATTTTTGGGGCACCATCATGAGTCCCAGAAAGCTGCAGAGACAGGACACACACATGCCAAATCCGTCTCTGTTTCATTACAAATAAGAGGCGGAAGGTTGCAAGCACTGTAGTTAACTTTATTGATCATTACTGAAAAGGAGTTAGTAGAGGTTAAGTGGCAGGAGGCAGCTGCTCCTTCAGGTGCCCTGGCCCTGTCACAGACCCTAAACACTGTTCAGCCTCGTGCTCAGCTCCCTCGAGGGCCTGGGTGCAGCTTGTTTTCAACAAGGACACGTTTTGTTCGCACTGGGCGTGGGTTCAGCCCGTCTCCCTAACGGCAGCTTCTCAGGAGAAGTCAGCACAGAAGCTGAAATGCAGCTCAGCTCCATCCAGGGTGAGATCTCAATGCCTGAACCCTGCCAGGACTGGAGTGTTCAAGCACAGGTAACAGCAGAGCAGATTAGGTTAAATTACAAATTGTTTTTGATACAAAAACATAAAATATCCCCTATAAGCATCAAGAAGGCATCCAAGTTTTAATACTCTCATTATAAAATTGTACCAGCATTTTTACTGAAAACAATATAGATCTCGAGTATATTTCGTTCTGGTTCTGTTCTCGACAAGCAGTTGTGTGGCTGCTACCAAACCCCAACTGCACTTTGATGAACCTCAGTACAAATCTCATGCATCACAAATACATAAATAGATCTAAATGACCCAGTATAAAAAAATACATCCTATGCAAGAACCTCAGGTATACTAAAAATCCCAGAACAGTTTGGGTTGGAAGGGACCTTAAAGAGTCCCAACCCCACCTGCCACAGGCAGGGACACCTTCCACTAAAATCAACCTGTTTGTGAAAATTCAGACTTAATACATCTGTTCTCCCTGAAAGCAAAGTTGGCTACTAAAATGTGGCAAAAGCAGTAGGCAGGAGCAGAAAAAATACTGCAGAATTGTTGTGTGACTTATTGCTACATGTAGATTACATCAAGGGTAATCTGTTTTTTCCTAATCCTTGAAAGGTCAAATCATGTATGAAATTCTGAACAGAGTAAAGAAAAAAGCACATTTTATAAAAATAGCATCCATTTAAGTTAGACAAATCCTTATAAATACAAGAAAGAAAGCAGTTACTCTCTACAACATTAATTGAGAGCGTATGTTCCTGAAGCACCAGCATCACATCCCCAGTTAAGGCCCTCAGTGAGGTGTTTATCCACACAGCCACAGCAGCTCTGGGCTCCGAGCCCCCCGTGCAAAGGAAACCGTTTGGGGCAGCCCTGCTCCAGGGCTCAGCTCTTGCAGAGCTCACACAGCACCCCAGCAGCTTTAGGAGGGCGAGGCAAGTCCTATGGCTTGGAGTCACACTACACCTACAAGTGCTGCCACTGTGTGAGAGTAGCAGAACCTGCACTCTTCTGCACCTGTATTCAGTGTCAACCTCCAGAACTTCATGACACAAACTAACTGTTTTGTGGTAGAGGAAGCAGAGAGGATCTGAGGGGCTTTAAAAAACAGTTTGAAAAGCTATTAAAACATAAAAGGTTTAGAAACTTTAACATTTCTAGTGTTTTGAGCATTACAACTTTGGTGTTCAGATCTAGCAAGTCAGTATATGCATGTAATCAGCCTCATCAAGACAGGTGTTCTATGATGAAAAACACTAATTCCATTTTCAGTGGTAGAGCTGTAGGATCTGACATCCCACTGTGAATCACAGGAATCAGAGCACTGTCCAGGTCATTCAGGTAGTTCTGTGGAAGAAGGTGCCCTCCAGATCCTGCTAAGTATTCAACCTAGGAGGGAAACATACTGATATTAATTAACACTTCTTGCATTAACAAGACTATGCACAACGTGCTGTATCACAGTAAAAGCATATTTCAGCTACTGTGAAGTGAGAAATTAATGACTAAGACAGCTTCTTCCCCAAATGTCATCCTCAGCCTGGATCGTGGGTAGGGCAGAACTCTAAACATTCCTGGAGAGACCCAAGGTATTTACAAGGGAAGGTACTTCAGTGGAGATGGAGAGTGTGCAATAAAAGTTGAAAGCTTACCATGTCTGAGTCAATGGAAACTCTGAGTCCTATCTTATTCATCCCGTTACTTTTCAAGGTTTTCAGGTGAGGGCAAAGAGCAGTGCTGCAGGCAATGGCAATCTCTTTTACAAACTGGTGGGGAACAGCACTGCAGAGGTCATGATCCTTTACAAAATGGTAAACCTGAGATCAGAGAAAGGGAAGGGCAGTCAGCAGCCTGCTACATGCCAAAGTTAGGAAAAAGAGTAGTTCAGGATCACATAACACTAAACAGGGCAAGCTCTGATGCTTGTCTGCTGGCAAAGCACCTGAGCATTTCACCCACACAATCAAAATACTTCAGGAACCACGGGAATGCCTGCATTAGGCATTTACAGAGCTGTCACTGCCAACAGCCTTGAGTCTTTCTCAGAGGAGAGAAACAACAAGTGTGTAAACTCACCAAGCAGCTGCAGAGAACACTCTGCCTGGCAGGATGGCTACACATAAAATCAGCTCATTTTAGTAGTATCACTTACTACCATCACATTACCACTTAACATTCAAAAAGTAATTAAAGAGGCTCAAGAACTATGTAATTCACTAACTTCAGTGCACTTCATAGCTTTTCCCTCTCTCTCGAAGCTTCTGTATAGTGGTGCTTTTTCACTCAGAGTTCCTTCCATTGATTTTCCATCAACTGGGCTTAAAATTCTATGGAAAACAACAGCGTGATTAGTAATTTAAACAACACTTATACTATAGATACAGTAGCTTCTATGAAATAATATTTACCCATCCTTTAAGGCTATTTAAACACCTTTACAACAAAGTACAATACAGGACTTGCACTATGACAATACAGATGGTACAAAGGGAAATATCCTAAGCAGGGAACTAACAGCATTAACAGAAACCTAATCTTGTATGTTTAAGACACTACATATCATCTTTGGTATCAAGCACTTTCTGTCACAAGAATATTTCAGATTAATTTCAGAAAACTGAAGGGAGATATTTGAGCACTGGGAGCAAGAAATCTTTCAGATGTCTGGCTTTGGTAGTACATTTACCCTTTGTTGGTTTTCTCTTCATTTTCTACCCAGCAAATATCTACATATTCTTTCACATCCCCTGTATCCACTTGTCCACAGGTTATTTTGAAGTCCTTCTTGTCTCTTAATGCCTGACGTAGACTTTCCATTGTTTCTCGTGTTATTTGTACCATTAGCCCATCTAGAAGAAAAACAGTTAAAATTCCATATTATCCACACAAAAAGCGCATAGCTTCTTATAGAATCTTGGCTTAAATTCTACTGAGACAAAACAACTCCTACAGCTAATAAATAAATGCACAAAAGTACTCCATGCCCCACCTACAGCACTAAATGTTAAATGAGAGAGGAAGAAAACCTATTTTGTCAACAGAACTCAAACTGAAAGATAATTTAAAGTTAATTTCTGATTATTTTTTTTGCATATGTGTGCCAATATTTGTATTTCAGCAATATGGCAATGAAAATACTTCTATAAAGGAAAGACCTGTACTGATTAATCAGAGTTTAAATTTGAATGTTTTAAAACAAGTAGGTGACCTATCATGTATTTTTATGCAGCACTTCTTTGCAATAGGTTTCATACAAAATTTAAAAACCTGAAAACAAATATGTATCTTGCTGAGGGGTACAAAGACCTTACACAAGACCTTGCTATTTTTTTTTTTTGTCGTTTTAAGTCTCTTAAGAACAGAACA